ACTTTTGACAATTTAAAAATATTTTTTTAATAAATTATTTTATTTATATTTATATTTAATTTTACGAAATAGTAAGGAAATTCCGGAAAGAAAATGCTGATAAAATAATTGAAGACGTTATCTTTAAATGATTTCATTTTTAGGTTAACATACATAACACATTTCATAATTTTAATATGATTTTTATTTATTTATTTTGAATTTTAAAAGTTTTTATAGTAGGGATCAGTGATGTATTTTGTGCATTTGTTGGCTCCAGCTCCAGCTCCGATGTTTTCAAAATCTTAGCTAGCTCCTGAGCCCGGCTCCGGAGCTAGCTCCCGGAGCTATACACAGCACTAGTAGGGATCAAAGATGAATGAAAATACTATTTCGCTTTCAACGAAACGAAAATAAATTTAATTTTTACAAAAAGAAACAAAAAATATAAACTAGTAAATTTTATTGCAAGAACTGAGGTTTCTCGAGATAGGAATGCATCGAATATTTGATCAAATTCAAAATTTGCCTCCGATTCCTTTGATATCCTCACTGATCTCTTTAAATCCACTGATATTCCCGATTTATGAGTTAAGAAAGATATCTGATGATCTGGAGGGATTAAGTCCACAAAATTCCATCTTTAGGGGTGTAATTTTAAAACCGAAACCGAGCGCATGGGTAACTGGTTTTCGGTCATCCCCAGTTTTGGTTCGGTGCTATTGTCGACTTGTCAAACTTGTATATTAAAATTTAAATACATATTTTACTAAGATAATTTTTCCCTAATTATTTAATTCAAAAATATAAAAATAAAAATCAATTAAAATAAAACCTTTAATTCATTTTCAAAATTAGAAAAATTGTTTACCAATTTTCTATTATATTTTAATTTTGTATTTTAATTTTCATATTTAATTTTCATATTTTTATTTTTTTATTTAATCCCGCAAACAATTGGATAAATAAAAAATAATATTTATTTTATTTAAAAATAATATTCTCTTTGAAGTTTTTTGAGGTTTATGATTAAAAAGCAAAATTATATTTAGGGATAATTCTCTAAATTGACAATTTACATAAAAGGAAAATCACGTGAATTTTTCCTCTCCTTTCAAATGAAGATCCTCAATCCTCTCCTGAAAATCCTTAAAAAACAAAAAAATGAAAGGAGAAAATAAAAACAATAAAATTATTCCTGATCTTTAAGGTAAAAATGTATTTAGCACAAAAATTGGAAAAAAGCAACAAATTTTTATTCGACCGCAGCTATTAAGAAATACAAGAGAAAGGCATTCTCCAATCTTGAAGGGTTTTGAAGGACTTCGTGAATACGAGTAGAATAAATAAAATTGAAGTTCTGAAATATCGAAACTGAGGGCAGGCGAATTATTGAATGAATTAGGTAGTTATTAATTATCCTAATTGCTATAAGACGAGGAATTCATCTTGCAGGAATTTAAGATTTTTCAAAATACTAGGTAGAATATTAATATTTCTGCAAATTACCCTTTCCGTAAATTGTTATCTTCTCTAATTTATTTTTATTCTATTTTGCCATAAAACTTTGTTTTTAATAAAATATTTTATAAAAATATTTATCCTTTTTGGAACCGAACTTTGAAAATAAAAATAAAAAAAACAAAATACAAATTACAAAAAGGGTCTATTTAAATAAATTAAAAACAGCCTTAATTAACCAGAAAATAAAATACTAAAAATTATTCCTCAAAAACTCCCAAAAAGGTTAGCCAATATTAATTTCTTAGAAATTTTCTTTGCTTCCATAAATTAAAAAAAAATTTTTAAAGTGAGGGAATGGAGATTAAGTATAGTTCTTATTTTTAAAAATATTTGTTAGATTGAAGCGACATGCTTGCTAGTTTTGTGAAGGAAATCACTAATATTTATCAATCAAAATATTGTAGGGAAGAGAAAGATCCAGCTAGCTAGCATTTAAAACGCTCACTAGGCGGGGGCTATTTAAAGAAAAGGTGAAAGCAATGTCCCTGTAGCTCAGATGGTAGAGCACCTGTACGTGGTGAGCAAAAGCGCCTAGCAATAACTGCCAGGAGGTCGCAGGATTGAAGTCTGCCCGGGATTAAACTTTTACCTCGTTCCTACTATATCTTGATTTTTTTAATTTATAAATCTAGGACAACTAAGAAATCTAAAATCTAGGTGGAAATACATATAAGTATACCGAAAACATCTTGTAAGTTTATGTTTAAACAAGCAGGAAAGCTTTGTCTGGTTTTATCACCGGGCAACTGTAAGTGAAGCTTTAATAAAAAAATTTTAAGATACGAAAATCATCGTCCCCAGTAGCTTGAGTGATCGAAGCGCTAGGTTGCCATTAAATTTATGGACTTTTGCTTGAATCTTGTATAACAAGTATCAAACCGGATTATAATTTTAAGGAAGCAAGAAATACTCCGCGGAATAAATATTGGCTAACCACTCAAATTTATTTAATTATTCTTCAACCAAAAAATGTTTACTAATTCAATTAAAAATTTAATTATTTATTTAATGCCTTTAATGGTTACTTTAATGCTTTTGTCTGTCTCATTTGTGGATGCAGGCAAAAAACAGCCTAGTGGGCCAAATCCTGGAGGAAATAATTGAAGAAAAATGATTGATGAAAAACGTTTAAATTAAATGATAAATGGGAAATAAAATTAAATTAAGCTAATTTTGATGGTTTACTTTGTTAATTTCAACATAAAATTAATTCAATTTTACTGAATAAAATTTATCTGGGAATATTTGTGTGATATTTTAAATATATTATGTGAAGTCTAATAAATAATAAATTTATTAGAAATGGATAAAACTCAGAGTAAGAATCAGAATTAACGAACCCTTAAACATTATTAATTTACAAAAAAAAAGTTAAAAATTCTCTTTGTAAGAAAAATTAAAATTTCAACTAGACATATGTACTTGGGTTAATTTTTAAATAACTCAGAAAATAACTAAGACATTAATTTTTCAAGAGCTTCTTAAAAAAGATATTGCTTAAAAATAAAAAAATATACTTAATCGAGGTAAAAGGCCGAACACTGAAAAACTTTTCTCCGTTTTTTAAAATGCGGCAGATCCAATCATTTGTAAATAACCTGAAATTCAAATTCTTTCTTGTTTTGCGAGATTCGGTTTAATGTGGAAAAACTTCGAGAAAAATCTTACTGCAATTCAATTGTTATTTAAAAAATTTTTCTATAGTGAAATTAACCCTAAAGTATTTCAATCAGTCAGAATTTAGACAAAATCTATTTATTTTCAAAAAAATAGTGAAGCATTGACAAATAATTTCGATTTAATTTACATCGAAAACATAATTTAAATTGAATTTTTAACAAAATAATTTTTAAAAAATATCCTCCTTTCCCAAAATTAAATTGTTTTGTTTAATATTCCTCCAAAAAGTTTAAATTTGGCCCAAAACTCTTAATATCATCAAACGCGCCTTTAACAAACGTAAGTACATCAAAATCTTAATTTAAAAATTAATTTATAATTAAATTAGATACTGATTTAGTGTTAGAATAAATGAACTAGGAGCCCCCACCCCAGTAAAATCAAATATATTGCCCTCCCTCAAATAGTCGAAACAAGAATTATTTTCCCTCGATAACTTCTTTCACTTCAATCTTTTCAAGTTTAGGAGGTAGGGGTTTGATCGCTTAAGTGTAGCCCATTTAATGCTCTATCTAATAGTACCAAGAACACTAAAAATTATCCGTACCTTCAAAAGCTATAGGGCTTGGGACTGAACTGACTCGGGACTGAAACGAGATGTACCCATATATCTTTCAGTTAAAAATTATTGGGTAATTTGTTCAAGTTAACTTTTGGTGGTTTCGAACACAATTTTCCACAGTTGTGAATTGCGGTCTCAGAATTGATTTATTTTCCATGATTCGACTTCTATAAACTGTAATACTTTATCAAATAAACAAAATTTCTCAATTTTTCCAAATAAACATATAGAGGATATCCTTTCTTTCCATCTAGCTATTAATAAGCATCAATTTATAAACAAGAGGGGGAAATACATATAGCTTTTCAATCTTCCCAAAACACCTGACTTTAATCTTTACCTTCTTCTGATCTTTCTTGAAAGACCGGAAAAGTCGATTGAAGGAAAAGAAAATGTCAAAAGAGATTTTATATTATTGCTAAAGGGAAGCAAGTCTTTTTGTAAAAATCTCTGCCAGCCTTTCAAATTGAACAAATGGCCAAAATCGTTTATTGTTTTAAAAGAAAAAATTAAAACATAAAAATATATTTTTACCAACAAATTTTATCCCTCCCTCTTTGTCCTTAAAAATTGAAAAATCATCATTCTAAAATTTAATAAATTGACACAAACACGAAAGGGGAGATGTTTAAGAGTTTTTTGTTTGTTTGTTTTTAATTTTAATTTGTTTGTTTTTCTAATAGTTAAACCCGGAAATAAACTATTTTGATATTTTCGTGTTAAGAAATTAAAAAAAACAATGAGCCGATCACCAATGAATTTTCAAAGGTATGTAAATAAACTATAAAAATTCTTTGAACACATTTCGATCGCTACTATGTATACTTTAATTTTGGGATATAATTGAAGGGTTGGGATATTAAAGTACATGGACTTGAGATATATGGACTTAAGATAACAGATAACTAGTACACCCCAAGGTACAGCGAGCCCACGGTACCGTAGACAAAGGAGAGATTCTTAATAAACTTATAAAAATTAATTTTTAAAACAAATTTCCAGTTTGGATCAATCCGAATCTTCATTTCCACAAATATCAACAACTACACGTTCTCATCTATTGGGCAGTCCGTGTCCAGCAATAATTTCCTGGCCAGCTCCACCCCCCAAAATTGAATTAAAGCCAACAGCTATAGCAGCACCTTTATCAGCTTCTTCTGCCCTTTCTGCTTCTTCTCCAAGTACTTCCCTTCGTTCAGCTCCAACCATCGTCCCAATATCACAATCTACATTAACTCACAGTCCTATACCTTTAATGGGAACAGCTTCTCCACATTCTTTAACTCCTCTTCCACGTTTAGAATTGCCTCAATCTGATGGACAAGAATGTGGTAGCAGTACTAACCTGCTAACGATGCTTAAAGCAATCGCCAATGGGCTTGCACCGCCTAGTGGAGGTTAAAATTTATGAAAATCAAAATAGTCTAGAACCAGTAATATGCCATTTCCGGTTTTACTTTTTTTGTTACATATTTCTTTTTTAGTCTATTGCTTTTTAAGATTTAAGACCCTAGTACATATTAGGATTATTTATACGATCACCATGATCACTTAATAAAGTAAGATTGCACTCTTATCCTAAAAATTAATATTCAAAATTCTCTGATAAATCCACAGACCTAATATAACAATTTTCATTTTCTATAGCATGCAGCCCAGGAAGCAGCGTCAATTGCTGGGGACGCGAAACAGAATTGCGACAAAAAATTCAGGCATTAGAAGAAATTGTTGCGGACTATGAAAGACAAAAATTTAATGTTCTCGGCACTTTCTCCGATTTTCATGAACGTGTAGCGGAAAGAGAGAGACGTTTAGAAGCAGAATATTCAACAAGAATACTCTCTTTAAGCGAGGAAGTTTTGGGTGCCAAAAAAGATTTTGAGGAAAGAATGAAAAATTTTCATTTACTTCAAGTAAATTAATTAATAAAAGCATAAGAAATAATTTTTTGATTAATTAAAAGGAACAATTTGAACGAGAAAAAGAACAAGCTTTGGAAAGATTAAGACAGGATCATCAACGGGAAATGCAGGCACTAGAGCGTTATATTGTTTCTAAGGTAGAGCAACGATTTTTAGTCTAAATTGCTCAAATAAGAGAATTAGCGTAGTTGGTAAGGTTCTAGTACATTTTGAGCGAGCTTTGTGCGAATTACTCAATTCTCAAAATTACATAGTTAAGTGATACCAATAACTCTTTATTCTCTATAAATCAATCTCTCAACTAATTATCTCAAAAAATTTCTTTTCAGGAGCAACGCTTTTCAGAGTCTAAATTGCTCAATTTGGAACAAAAGTTGGGCTTAATTTCTTTAAATTTAAAAATTAATATTTCTTAAGATATATTTTGGAAATACAAAAATTGGAAGAAGAACGTAAAAATTTAAAAACAGAAAGAGAAAGGCTTAATGAAGGATTTGAAGTTCGTTTTAGACGAGCTGAAAGCCTTTTTGAATCAGAGTTGACCGCAGCAAAAATGTTATATACGAGGGAATTGCAAGCATTGAGAGAACATGAAGAGGCCCTTAAAGACGAATTAGCTGCTAGACAGGAAGAATTTCAGGATAAATTAATTGAATTACAACATTATTCGAAACAAGCTAAAGAAGAGGTTGTTAATTGTAGAAAAGAGGTTGTACAGCTTGAAGAGAAATTGAAAGAAAAGGCTGCTGAAATTCAGCGGTTGGCTAGAGAGGTAAATTGGGTGGATAATAGGCTAGTAAGATAAGGTAAAATCAAACCAAAATTAAACCCAAATACTAGAGATCGGTCTGGATCTGGATCCAGACTGGATTTTTCCTCGATCAGTTTCCAGATCCAGGCATTTTTTGATCGTTCTGGACTTTTTCTGGATCCAGATTAAGAATCCTGTCCAGGTTGCTAACCTAAATCCAGATCCAGAATTTTTGAGAATACGGATCTCTACTAAATACTCTATTTTCTACATAAATAAGCTCTATTATCGAAATCTATCTGATAAAATTCAATCTGGCTTACTATTGAAAAATTAAAGAAAGTGTGAATAACATGGAAATAGAAACTGGAATCAGATCGAGATTTTAGTATATTCATCTTATAACTTTTAAAACCAAATTTAAGCTCGCTGCCGCCCGTCGTCAAACAGAAGATTCCTTCCGTCGCCTAAGCAAAGCTCGTTCAGAAGCTGAACAAAACCAGAGTTTTTTGGAAGAACAAAGAGAACAATTAGAACAAAGAAATGCTTTATTAAAAAATGCGGAAGAGTTGAGAGCTAAATTAGAACAAACAATTGGGGAATTAAGAAAAGAAGTTATTGCATTAAGTAATCGAGTAGATTTACTTGAAATTGAGAGAGATGGGTTAAGAGCACAAGCAGAAAGTCAGGTAAAAAATTTTTTTAATTAATTAATGCTATTTTAAAATTTAGACAGAGCTACACGAATCCCAATTAACTGCATTGGAAGCGGTGAGGAAATTAATTTTTTATGATTATTGTATTATTGAAGGGGAATTTTTTCATTAAATTTCATTAATACCAAAACAGTTGTGGTCATCTTAAAATTTTGCTGTTAATAATAAAAATAACACTGGGATACTAGAGAAATATTGAAATGGAAATTTGGATCTGTATTGTAAAAGCAGTAAACTTTAACCGACTTTACTGAGACCATCTAACGAGAGCTATATTAATAGGAAATTAATATTGATTAGAGTTTCACCGGAAGTTCCGGTTCCGAAAAGTTCCGGTGTTTTTTGGTTCTGGTTCCGGGAACCGGAACTCAAATTGGATCCGGTTCTGGTCGAAATATTGGTTCCGGTGAAACCTAATATTGATACGTAAAAGCTTCTTACTTCTAACCTTAATTTCTAAATATTCCACAATAGATGTTAGAATCAGTTACAAGAGAAAAAGAAGAATGTGCCGAACGGTGTGAAGAAACACTCCAAAAGGAAAGAGCTGAAGCAGAAGAAAGAGAATCTACACTTAGAGGAGAGTTTTCAACAAAATTGAGTGAATTAGAAGAACAATATAATGGATTGAGGGAACATGTAGAAAGGGAAGAAGATGGAGAATTTGGGCCTGAAAATGAGGTAGAAAATTTTAGGAAAATAAATTTAAATAAAAATATTTTAAGAAATTATGGGAAGAAGTTGAATTATTGAGAGCAGAGAAGACTGATTTGGAGGAGAAAATTGAAAAACAACAAATGGATGTATGTATTGAGTTAAAAAATAAAATTTCTACGACTTATAGAGAATTTTGAGAGGTTTTGAGAATAAAATTAGCTCGGGACCAATGTTTGAAGCTCGTACCAAAATTTGTACTTGTTTACGAGTACGAGAAAAAACATGGCCCGTACGAAAAAAATTTTAAGAATGCTTCAAAATTTTAAGAATGCTCGTACTATACCATTCTATTTTTGGTAGAGTTGGGCGGGATCGGGATCCCGGTCGGGATCGGGCGGGATTATCCCGGTTTTTTTGAATCCCGATCCCGATTTTTCTGATCCCGAACCCGAAAGACAAATCCCGATCCCGGTTTTGGCCGATCCCGATCCCGAGCCGGGATCGGGATCGGGATTAGCAATCGGATCCCGATGAAATCGGGATTTTATAAATTAATGAAAATATATATTAATGAGCTGAAAAGAAAGCAATTTGGCTTCTACGCCATCCAAAATTTTCAAAATTTTCGCCTGCGGCGCTAAAAATGAAGATTTTGGCTTGAGAATCTTCGAAATTTTTCAAAATTTTTGCCTCCGGCGGTGAATAAGAAGAGACTCATTTATAAAACTATCGACGGAATGGATTTGAACGGATATAATGGATATCCTAGATGTCCATCTAGATCCCAATATCTCATTAATCAACGATATCCCTCTTAATCCATCAGAATCACCTTATCGTTAATACTTTATCCCTCCTCCTTAATCCCTGATACGCCAAGAACAAATGCGCGCTGGGACTTAAAATCAATATTTCAGCACAGCAGATGAAAATTATGGAATTATATTGAGGTATATGCAATGTAAATAAAAAATTTAAATTTAAAAAATTTTTTTAACTAAATCCCGATCCCGATTTTTCAATCCCGATCCCGAGTCGGGATCGGGACCGGGATCGGGATCATTATTCCGAATCCCGATCCCGATTTCGTCCAATCCCGATCCCGCAGTCGGGATCGGGACCGGGATCGGGATCATCATTCCAAAATCCCGATCCCGATTTTACGTCGGGATCCCGATCCCGCCCAACTCTAATTTTTGGGACGTTACTTTGTATAAGCTACGAGTCTAAGATCTCAAAGCAAGGGTTGTCGGTTTCTGGAAATTCTTTTGATATCCGAAACCGAAACGAAGAACCGATCCTCGGTTCTTCGGTCGGTCCAGAACCGAAAATCCTACTCAAAGCACTTTTCTAATCTCAACGATTTAACAAACCTCCCAGTTTATCCTCCCTCATCCCCCTTTTAGACACGTTAAGGTATTCGTTTTAATTAAATAAAATAAAAAATTGAAGAATTTATTTTGAAAATTAAAATTATTTCAGAATAAGGAATTATCACGAGTAATTAATTCAATTGAAGGCAAATTAAAAGTAGAAAATGAAGAGGAAGAAGAAGCGGAGGAAGAGATTGAAATGGATAAATTATTAGAGAAGGTAAAAAACCTTTGAAAATATTTGAAATTTTTTTCTCAAGTTATACGACTTGGAACGAAGTGTTGAGTGGATAGTAAAGGAAAAGGAACGTGCCGAAGCAAGACTAGAACAATTACAAGAGGGAGATGTAAATGCTGGTTGGAAACGTGCAGATGAATTAAATAAGGAATTGGAGGAAGAAAAAAGTTTTTTTTGAAAAATTTTTTCGAAAAAAATTTTTTAAGAAAAATTGGCGAAAGTAGAAAAACGACTTGCAATTGAATTGGATTCGAAAAGTGAAGTTGAGAGGGTTGATCTCCTTGAAAAAGAATTAGCTAATGTAAAGGAACAATTAGAGAAAGAACGTGAAAAGTCAGAAAGGGAATTGAGGTGTTTAAAATTTAAATAATTATTGGATTACGTAATTACTCGAGTAATAATAATTATTGCTCTTGCCCCTATCCTAACAAATAAGGGCATATGCGGGAGAGCAATCGCCCCAGGTATCTCAGTTAGTAGAGCTCCGTGTAAGGGTTTAGGTGCGGCAAAGCGAACACTTTCAGCAAGGTCGCAGGTTCATTCCTCTGCTATGCTCTTAATAGATAATCTATTGTTCTTAGTTCATCTTGGGAAAATTTTGACAAAAATAATTCTTAAATATTCAATTTTTAATTAATTTTTACAGACGTTTGGAATCTCAACACGCGTTGGCATTAGAGCTAAAAATTGGGGCATTAAATAGAGAACATGAACGTACTGTAGAATTTATACAACAAAGAGAGCAGGAATTGGCTAGAAAATTGGAATTAATAAATGATAATAATAAATCAGAAAAAATTTTGGAAGAACATGAAAGTCAAACAGAATTAAGTAATGAAAAAATTTTTGAAGAGAAGGAACAAAAAATGATAACAAATCAGGAGGTGTTGAATAGGGAGAAGGTAGGGTGGATCAGGCATGGTCACGGATACTGATCTTGGTATCCGTATCCGCATATTTACGGCGGATACAGGCGGATATCCGCAGGCATTTTGATATTATCAGTATCCATATCCGTATCCATGACCATGCCTGGGGTGGATAGATAAATTAAACTTGGAGACGGTTACTATGTACTTGGAGACGGGTAGGGAAAAAACGGGGAGGAAAAAGAATTTAGGGTTAAATGAACCCTAAATTTAAATATTAATGTCAGAGAGAAGGGATCCCTACTTCTGATATCTCAAATATCTCTGAAATATGCGTACGAGATATTAAAAATCATCTTTCATCCCGAACAGAGAACTCCAGCTATAAACTCCGAGAATTCGAGTTGATTTCTGCACCTTTATTCTTTTATTTTCCATAGGAACTTATTGAAGTAATAAAGCAATTGCAAGCTGAACTATCTGAGGCTTACAACAAACAAGCATGTAATTGTTGCTTCAACAAAAAGGAGCTGCGTTCGGTTTAGTTTATTTAAATTTTATATTCGAGAAATTGTTCGAATGGAAATATTAATGTCATAGACAGATTTTCGGAGACTCATGACCAAGGCGCAAAAAAGTCATGAGTCAAGACCGTTCAAAATACTATTAAGATTGTTCCCCAAGAGGAGGAAAAAATTTCCTTAAGGGCAGGGAACAAGGATAATCCAAACTAGAGAACCTAGCTAAAAATCTAAAAAAAAATTTTTTAAAGCAAAGTATAGCCAATACAAATGAACATTTGGCTTTTTGTCAAAAAGCAACAGGGACACGTTTAACAGTTGAAGAATTATCTCAAAGAAAGGATTGTTGTCAAAGACACGAACATTGGAGATGTTCTTCTTCAAATAGTGGAAGAGGGATTGCTGGGAGAATGGAAGCTATTGCTCCACAAGAATTAACTCCAGAACATTCACAACATAGGTAATAAAATATATTTTTCAATCAAAATATAATTTCCTCCAAATTTGTCACAGACTTCATTCACCTATTGGAAATGTCCACCACCGCATTTCTCCCTCACATCAATTATTTTTCGGCAAAGGGTCATCTCCAAGTAGTGAAAAAGCAGAAAAACGACCAGCATGGAAATTTTAAACTTTAATTATAATTAGGAGTTACGCGGTATTGGGATTCTGATGCCTATTGGCATCTGGATTTGGGACTTGTAAAGGCAATCCTGAGATACCTGGAAGATTGAAAATTTGTTAGGGATTGAAGTTCAAATTTTATGTCTGAGGACCGGGAAATTTTTTTCAGCGAAACGACCAACTAGGATTTAACTAGGATAAAACGGTAACTAAGATTTAAATACCGCATAACTCCAACAATATCCATAATTATTAATTTCTTTCATTAAATTTAAATTTTCAATAATAATTACATTTGTAAGTAAATAAAAAGTTTAAAAAATTAATTAATCATTTAATTAATAACGCCCAAATTTTCTTGTGTTAATGCAAATCAACTCTACTAATAACGTAATTAATTATTAAAATCTATTATTACATCTTTCATTAAATTTAAATTTTTAATAACATTTAAATTTAAATAAATTTTTTAAAAATAATCATTTAATTAATTAATTAATCATTTAAGTAATAACATTCAAATTTTCCTGTGTCAGATTGTTGCTAGGTGATATTGAATTAGAATTCCACAAAATTTGGCTATGCCACTTAATAAATTTAAAAATAATTTGTCTATAATTTCTAACAGTTAAAAGAGTTACCTTAATTAAAATAAATTTTTAAAATTAATATTGGGCTCTTGTCCAGGTTATGCGATCCATAAATTTGTACAGTCCGAGCTTTGAGTTATTTATATAGGTACCTAATTTCGGTATTTCCCTCGGGCATTCTAATTTTCATTCTATTAGATTATCTAAAAATCCCCGACGTTGAATTCATTCTACTCC